CCCGTGTACTTGTTTTTCTGAAGAACGTAAAGTCCATTCGGCAAATTTAACGATGCATGAAATTATTCAACAAAGAAGTTCCATTAAATTTTGTGTGCGGAATCAAATTTCAGCTGCCGAAACGTTCAGAATGTTAGATAAGGCCTTCGGTGATAACTCCTTGTCTCGAGCAAGTGTTTTCGATTGGTACAAACTATTCAAAGAAGGTCGAGAACGCGTTGACGACGAACCACGTCCAGGACGGCCATCAACATCAACTGATGATCAACACGTCAATAAAATAAAAGAATTGGTGCTTCAGAATCGACGATTAACAGTCAGAGATTTTACTGACATCGTTGGAATATCAGAAGGATCAGTGAAAACCATTTTGAAAGATCATTTGGGCCTGAGGAAAGTGAAAGCCCGATTAGTTCCAAAATCACTAAATTTTTTCGAAAAACAGCGTCGTGTTAACGTCTGTGAAACAATGCTTTCCGACTACCAGGATGTCATGGAACGTATTATTACTGGCGATGAGTCTTGGATCTATGCTTACGAACCGGATACAGACGATCAATCGGCCGAAAATCGTGGCACAGGTGAGCCGAAGCCGAAAAAACCACGTCAAATCAGGTCAAAAATCAAAATCATGTTGACCGTTTTTTTCGATTATCGTGGTGTGGTGCACTCGGAATTCCTTCCGACTGGCCAAACTGTCAATAAGGAATACTATTTGAGTGTTATGTGCCGTTTGCGCGAAGCTATTCGTACAAAAAGGCCGAAATTATGGGCCGAAAACTCTTGGTTTTTGCACCACGATAATGCACCGTCGCATACTGCATTGATTCTTCGTGAGTTTTTTTCAAAGTTTTCAACCAATATAGTGCCGCAACCGTCGTATTCGCCCGATTTAACTCCGTGTGATTTCTGGCTATTTAGTAAACTCAAACGACAGCTGAGGGGAAACCGTTTGGAGTCAATTGAAGACATTAAACGTGAATCGCTATGCGCGTTGATGGCTATCCCGGAAATCGACTTTCAGAACTGTTTCGAGGATTGGAAAAAACGTTGGCACAAATGTATTATTGCCAAGGGGGATTACTTTGAGGGGGACGACATAGATTTTGAAGAATAAATTAATAATTTTCAAATTATGAACAAAGTCTTACTATTTTTTGCTCACAATAGTACATGAATTTATGTGGAATTTCACAGCTTCATCGAATTGAAACCCAAAAAATTACCAAGCCGTATCAAATGCCAGTACGCATTCTAAGTATGCCGTGACTTGACACGTCAGCTGGTTCTTACCTTAAAACGGATTTAACTGCCGAATTATAAAGAAAGATAAATTACGGGCATTAAGAAAATGAAAGTAGAGAAACAGTAGGCCGGTGAGTTCAATATTGAACATTATCCCGAAATTTCCAAACAAGTATATGGATCAGGTAAGGACATAAAACGACATTGTGTATTAACTTGACAGGTATTTAATTTGCAACCAAAGCTTTATATGCAGATTCCAGAAAAAGATCAG